GGCTGCCTTGCGGAGCTGGCGCGCCGTGGCAGCTTGCAGGCCGCAGCTCAGGACCTTGTAGGCCCGCGCCAGCTCCCGCGGCTGCTGTTCCTCAGGCAGGCGTCTTACCTGCCCGAGCAGCCAGAGGCGGGCCTCGGCGCCGAGCCGCCCCCCCGCCTCGAGGACGAAGGGCGTGAGCCGAGCGCCTGGGTAGCGCGCGTGCTTCTCGCGCTCGCCGCGCCTGCTGGCCTCGCCGTCCCGGCGCGCGGCCACGCGCAGCTCGGCTGGCGTGCCGGCTGCGGGGTGGCGAACGGAGACGTCCAGCCACCGGGCCCCGTCGTCTTCCTGGTACTCCAAGTCCAGGATGGCGCGCTCGAGCTGGCCCTCTGGACGCTGGCGGTCCCAAGTCGGTACTCTCTGCTCGAGGAGTGGCCGTTCGCCGCGCCAGCGGTGGAGGAGCCCAGCGACCCTCCGGTTGAGTCCGCCATGGCGCGCCAGCACCCCCCCGCCCCGCTGGCAAGTCAAGGCGTGGTAGCCGCGCTCGTCCAGAGCCCTGGCGCAGCTGGCCCCGTCGGCGCCGCGCAAGCAGCAGGCGGCCCCTGTCGTCGCGAGCTCGCGCTGGCTGAGCTCCGCGCGCGGGAGCTGCAGCCGCCGCCTGGCGCTGGTCTCCCAGTGGGCGTCTTCCAGCGTGCAGAGTTCGTCCTCTGGGTAGGTCAGGTAGGCGCCGCTGCCGCTGCCGGCCGCCCCCCGCAGCTCGGCCTGTCCGGGAAGGTGCAAGCGTCGCAGCAGAGCTGCGTGCTGGTTTCTTTGTACCTTCTCAGTTGCCAGGCCTTGCTTCAGGGGCGCCTGCAGCGCAGTCACCAGGTCCCCGCCCGCGGCGAGCTCCAGCCCTTGGTCTTGCAGCCCTTGCCTCGCAGTGGTCAGTTGCTGGGCCGCTCGCGGCAGCCGTTCCAAGCAGTCTGCCAGCGTCCCGCTGCCCTGGTCCTCCGTGACCTCCCCCGCCGCCAGCGTCCAAGAGGCCAGGAAAGCCGCGTGGCGGCGCGTGGTAGCCAGCTGCGCGCCCAAGCCCCCGAAGCGGGCTGGGAGGCCCAGCAGCTCCTTGGCCGTGTCGCCGAGGTCCCGCCCAAGCAGGTCCTGCCAGCAGCCAGCGAGCAGGTCGTCGTACTGCTCCGTCGCGGCGTCCGTCGCGAGCTCCATTCGCAAGGAGTGCTGGCTTGCCGGGCCTGCGTAGGCGCGGAGGAGGGCTGCCGTCGCGTGCTTCTTGAGCCCTGCCTTGTGCAGTTTCTGAAGCTCTCGGTGAAGCTTCTGTAGCTTCCTCCCAGCTTCGGCGAGGCTGTTCGCTGGCTCCCCGAGGGCTGCCAGCGCGCTGCTGTCGGCGTCGCCCGGCGGTCGCAGGTGCTTGCCGAGCACGGGCAAGCTGTGCACCCAGCAAGCCTGCAGCTCTCCCGTGAGCACGGCTCGCCCAGCTGGGGACCAAGCAGCTGTCTTCCCGGAATTCAGCTTTAGCCCGAGGGGCTGGAGAGCCTGTTGCAGGGCTTGCAGTGCGAGAGCAGCCAGCGGAGCCTCCACCACCAGGTAGGAGTCGTCCAGGTAGTTGTACAGCCTCGCCTGTGGGTCCAAGCGGAGTAGCTCCTCGTAGAACCTGTCCAAGGCAACCCTCTGCGCCACGGAGAACGCAGCGGGCGACAAGGGGTCCCCCTGGTCGAATCCCCTGTCGCTTTGAAGCGGGTGGAAACGACCCCCAGCGTCTCGCCAGAGGTGTTTCGCTGGCTGCCCGTACCACGAGAGGAGCGCTGCCGCGACCACCTCGTCTCGCTCTGCCATGGCCGCCAGGGCGGGCGCCCGTTCTAGCGAGGGGAAGGCGGCCTCCAAGTCCAGCTTCAGGAAGACTGCTGTGGGCCTGGTTTCCGCCTGGGAGGAGGAGGAGGGGGAGGAGGAGGAGGAGGAGGAGGAGGAGGAGGAGGAGGAGGAGGAGGGAGGAGGAGGAGGAGGAGGAGGAGGAGGAGGAGGAGGAGGAGGAGGAGGAGGAGGAGGGGGAGGAGGAGGGAGGAGGAGGAGGACGAGGAGGAGGAGGAGGAGGAGGAGGAGGAGGAGGAGGAGGAGGCGGAGAGAAAGGAGGAGGAGGAGGAGGAGGAGGAGGAGGAGGGCGAGAGGAGGAGGACGGTGGAGGAGGAAGAGGAGGAGAAAAGGAGGAGGAGGAGGAGGAGGAAGAAGAGGCGGGGGAGGAGGAGGAGGAGGAGGATGTGGAGGAGGAGGAGGAGGAGTAGGAGGGAGAGGATGAGGAGGAGGAGGAGGAGGAGGAGGAGGAGGAGGAGGAGGAGGCGGAGGAGGAGCAGGAAGAGGAGGAGGAGGATGAGGAGGAGGAGGAGGCGGAAGAGGATAGGGGAGGAGGAGGAGGAGGAGGAGGAGAAACATGAGGAGGAGGAGCAAAAGGGGAGGGAGTAGGAGGAGGAGGTAGAGGACGGCGGGCAGGTAGAGGACTGGATGAGGCCGAGTAATGACGATGATAGTGATGAAGACG